CAGAGCTATTGTCAGGAGGGTGAAGAGGGAGACACAGAATCTGAAGCAGGCTCCAGGCTAGCCTGAGGTCAGCACAAATTACATACGTGAGGTTCTGAACCCACAACTGAGAGTTCATCAGCCTGACTAAGTCGATGCTTGACGATTGAGCCACCCAGCCCTTGCTCATTATATATCATTAAATATAGTTTAAAAATCAATGTTCAGGGGCGCCTGGGTGGCGCAGTCGGTTGGCGTCCGACTCTGTAGCCAGGTCATGATCTCGTGGTCCGTGAGTTGAGTGCCTCCGCGCGGGCTCTGGGCTGATGGCTCAGAGCCTGGAGCCTGTTTCCTGGCTCTGTCTCCTCTCTCTCTCTGCCCCTTCCCCGTTCATGCTCTGTCTCTCTCTGTCCCAAAAATAAATAAACGTTGAAAAAAAAAATAAAAAAAAAAAAAAAATCAATGTTCAATAGGGCTCTCTGGAGAAACAGCTGATTCCAAGGCTGGGATAGGGTAGGAACAAGATGACATTAAACATCTTGCTTATGCTGGAAAGGAAGTACTTAAAAAAAAAAAAAAGAGGGGCACCTGGTGGCTCAGCTGGTTGAGCACTGAGTCTTCCAGGTCATGATCTCACAGTTCATGAGTTCAAGCCCCTGAGTCTGGCTCTGTGCTGACAGTTCAGAACCTGGAGCCTGCTTCAGATTCTGTGTCTCCTCTCTCTCATGCCCCTGCTCATGCTCTGTCTCTCTCAAAAATAAACATTAAAAAAAAATTAAAAGAAATGATGGGCATGGCACAGGAATACAGAAACCAGCTTAAAGGAGCCATGACTGGCACAAATCAATTTGAGTACAAAATAATATTGGACTTATATAATAAGCCACAGAAAAGTAATTTATAAGTCCATAAAATAAATAAATGGGGAGAAGGGAGGTTTTCTTTACAGCAGAATGTCAAAAGAATGTAGATTTGAAGATCACCACAATCATAGTGAAAGACTGGATCAGAAGAAGATGATTTGTTGATGAACAAATACTCAATTTAAAATAAAATTATGTGAACAAGATATTTACATTATGTAATGTTTCAGCAAACGCTTATCAGTTGCAAGGGAAAAAAGCTAATTATACAGACAGAATCTGAAGCAGGCTCCAGGCCCTGAGCCGTCAGCACAGAACCTGACGTGAGGCTCGAACCCACGAACTGAGAGTTCATCGCCTGACCTGAAGTCGGATGCTTAACTGATTGAGCCACCCAGCTGCCCCCTTGCTCATTATATATCATTAAATATAGTTTAAAAATCAATGTTCAGGGGCGCCTGGGTGGCGCAGTCGGTTGGCGTCCGACTTCAGCCAGGTCATGATCTCGTGGTCCGTGAGTTCGGAGCCTCCGTGGGCTCTGGGCTGATGGCTCAGAGCCTGGAGCCTGTTTCCTGACCTGTCTCCTCTCTCTCTCTGCCCCTTCCCGTTCATGCTCTCGTCTCTCTGTCCCAAAAATAAATAAACGCGTTGAAAAAAATTAAAAAAAAAAAAAAAAAAAATCAATGTTCAATAGGGCTCTTGGGCTTAGCTGATTCCAAGGCTGGGATAGGGTAGGAACAAGATGAACATAAAATTTTATGCTGGAAAGGAAGTACTTAAAAAAAAAAAAAAAAAAGAGGGGCACCTGGGTGGCTCAGTTGGTTGAGCACTGAGTTTGGCTCAGGTCATGATCTCACAGTTCATGAGTTCAAGCCCTGAGTCTGGCTCTGTGCTGACAGTTCAGAACCTGGAGCCTGCTTCAGATTCTGTGTCTCCCTCTCTCTCTGCCCATTCCCTGCTCATGCTCTGTCTCTCTCAAAAATAAACATTAAAAAAAAAAATTAAAAGAAATGATGGGCATGGCACAGGAATACAGAAACCAGCTTAAAGGAGCTCAGACTGGCCAAATCTAGGACAATTTGAGTACCAAAATAATATTAAGTACTTATTAATAAGCCACAGAAAAAAGTAATTTATAAGTCCATATTAAATAAATAAATGGGGGAGAAGGGAGGGTTTTCGCTTACAGCAGAATGTCAAAAGAAGTGCTAGATTTGGAAGATCACCACAATCATAGTAAAGACTGGATCAGGCAAGAAGATGATTTGTTGATGAACAAATACTCAATTTAAATGAAATTTTTATGTGGAACAAGATATTTACATTATGTTAACAATGTTTTTCACAAACTGCTTATCAGTTGCAAAGGGGAAAAAAGTAATTATACAGTGGAGAAATTACACCTTGACTAGGTGATCAAAATTATCACTAATGAGGGACACGCACACTGTATGGATCCCGACTGAAACTCCAGAATACAACAACACCTAGACAGTTACCAGCCAAGAGTACATAGAACTCCAATGTAATCATGAGGCAGCATCAGGAAAACACAAAATGAGAGGGAAAGCAAGATGAGAGAGAACTCTATTCTTTATAAATGTTCCAAATTAAGGGGGCCAGAAAGATAGGACAGTTAAAATTAACCCCTAATTCTTGACTGTACTATAGGAGAAAAATTCTATGTGGGACATTATTAGGTCAACTGACAAAACTGGAACATGGATAATTGATTCAATAAAAGTATTTTATCAGTGTACATTTATGCATTTGGTAACCATACTGTGATTACATGATATTATAACCCTATTTTTTAGGAAATACATACTAAAGTATTTAGGAGTAAAGGGTGATGATGTTTGTAACTTACCCTCAAATAACTCACAAAAACAAACTGTATATCTATACAGATACATATACACATGTATATATATACATAAATATGCATACATACACACTTACATGAGAGAGAGGACCAATTATAAAGTAAATGGGGCAAAATGTTAACAGGTGAATCTGGGTAAAGGATATTTGGATGTTCTTTGTACTATTTTTGTAACTTTTTAATACATTTGTGATTATTTCCAAATAGTTAAAAAAAAAAAGGGTTCCAGACAAAGCTTAATAATTTTCTAAAACGTCAATTAACAGAACAGACAGGAGGACCCAAATAAATAGACATTTTATTTAATATTACATTTCACATATTTAAATTTATTCTATTTCAATTTGGGTTTAGGTACTTATATAGCAACTGGAATGAAATTGGAAAAAGATGCCACTATATTAAGAAAAAGGGGTACTTTTATTCATTCCAAAAGGGAACATAAGTTGAAATAATTTAGGGAAAAATGGGCAAAACGGTTTAGTTTCTAAGAAGAGTGCATCTGTTATTCATTAGGCTTAGAAGGAAAGAAGAAAAGCCAAACACTTGACAAAGCTTGTTTAGAGTTACCACAGTTAACTGAGGATATCTGGAACCTTTTTAACTAATTTTGAAAGAAATATGAAAATCTTTAACTTTTTGGAATCTGCATGTTTGTGAAGGTCAACTAAAGTCGTTAATCATTTTTCCTAAAGTACAGTTTCAGAAGTGTTCGTTTTCAAAGTCATCCTCAGTTAATGATGTCTCTCATCTGTCCCTTTTTTCATTCCCACAGCTTTGTCCACAATGGCACTGCTGTTTCAATAGTGTATTCTTACTAGTTCCCTCGATGTTAATGCTCTCATATGCTACTGAGAGTTTTTATTGAAGGACTAAATAAAATCATGTCATTCTTTTGCTCAAAAATCTTTGTTTCTTCAATTTGTGTATGTCTTGGTCCTGTAATCAATATCCATTATGATTTGGCTCCC